GCAGAAATATCATAAAAAACAAACAAAACAAACAAAGCACAGTTCGTATGAGCTAAATGCTCTTGTGACCCACTCTGAACACACACTAAAAAGAGACCAGGGAATGTCAATACAGATTTCACTGACCTTATTCTTTGCCACTCTTACAAGGAAAACAGCTATTAGACACATAATATTCAGAGGACACACCTCCCCCAGAGGTTCCTACCTCTTGGACACATACTCATTTGCAGGCCAAGTTGCCTAGAAGTCTCTCGATTACCAGTTTGATTTGCATAGTTCCGAGGTACGTAGGAATGGGACCTGTGGCAAAGCTATCATTAAAGAGAAACAAAGCAGAAGACTGAACAAAGGATACATTCTGTGCAAAGTTTGAAGTTTATACCATCTCAGTGATCCTTGTCATGGTAAAAAAGATGTCCACCCCTTCCCCCACCTAAAAAGAATAGCAGAGAGTGACAAAAGGAGGCTCCCTGGAGGTAATACGGGAGTGAAGAGTAGGGGAACTAAAGACTGTACACATGAAGAGAGAGAAGGGAGTTGGCATGGACACAGGAGATGCGGCCAAACACCCTGCCTTCACAGCAGAGATACGTGATTAGGTTGGAATCACTTTCACCTCTTCCCCAGGGTATGCAAGTAGGAATAGGTCAGGCTGGGGCAAAAGGAATGACATCTTGATGAGGCTCAGCTTTGCCAGGGGCCTAAGAAAGGTGGCAATAGAGCTAGAGCCAGAATATTCTCACTGGTCCTTTTATATGAAATCTTGAATATCTACATTTACAGATTAAAAGGTTTTCCAGTACACCAGAGAGAGAAAAGTCTTCTGAAGGCAGTGGAAATGACTTTAGTTCTCCAGTGGTTAAGAGTATAAGGGCTTAAGAGTGAGGAAAGCTGGTTTCAAATCTGGGCTACTTAACAGATTTATGGTAACGTAATTTAAATTTCTCTAAGTTTCAGTTTCCACATGTTAAAAAAATTATAATGCATATACCACTGAGCTCATGTAAAGACTATATTACACATGTAAACTGTGTAACACATGTAGTGTCTGGCAAATAATTATTGACAATAAAATTTTCATTCAGTGAGGACTGTTATCTATTTCCGTAACATTGTCTGGTCACCCATACCAAGCTCTGCCTCATTTTACGTCATTACTTTCTGTCTGGTCCTTGACATTCCACACTGTTTCAGCTTTGACCTGCTTCCTCAGATACCATGGTATCTGTCTGCTTCAAAAACTTCATGCTTCTGTGTTCTTTGAAAGGTCTACCTACAATTATTTGTAAATTCAGTGCTAACAGTGTGCAAATATTTTTAAATCATAAAAAAAATACATGGCGTTTAGGAAATACTATTCTTGTCCTTGAACTCTGAAGGCACTCTTCATCTCTGATAATATTGACCCTGAGCCCAGTTCACATTGAGTGAACAAGGTATTATTATTTTATACCCTCTTCCCAGGAGGTTAAAATGACTCACCAAAAGTCACTCGGTGATCTCAGATGAGGAATCCAGTGAATCAGTCTTGAAATCTCAATCTAAAAATCTGCCAGAATCTCCATTTACTGAGAAAAAGTCATCCTAGAGAGGATGATCCCCAGTAAATTTTATATTATGATATTACTTTTTTTTTTTTTTAACCACATGCTTAAAATGTTTTCTGGATCTGGACTGGCCCTCTGCTTACCCACAGAATACAGGGAGAAAGCTGTGTAAGTTCCCTTCTCCACAGTTAAAGCAGTCCTTGTCACCATCATATGTTAGATCACATGTCAGTGTCTGTGACATAGTCAGGCCTTGGCTTCTCAGGATCCACTCATTACAAGTGAATTTATGTGCCTTGAAGCATATGGCCTTGATATATGATCCTGGAGCAAAAGAGCAAGGTATTTCAAGCTGGCCACAATTTTATTGACTCTCACAGGCTTGCTTTGTAGTCATTCCAATAAACTAGACGAGAAATTCCTGATGCTCCAAGCTATCCAGTCTACAGGACTCCATTTCATGATTCAGAGTCCAACTAAACAACTCAAGAGTGCTTTTGTGTGACACTGTGACCACAGGAATAAATAATTGCTTAGCAATTTTCTTTGAGGCAGAAAATTCTAAACATGGAGGAACCATTTCCCCTTAATGGGAGCCAGAAATCCTGTAAGTGCTTGAAATGGCATTCACAAGTCTGAATGGTAAACAGATAAAAACAGGAGCGCACCAGTTGCACAAATGACTTGCTTGTCACAAACTTGTCATTGCAGTAATCTAACATTTCTTTCCCAGAGCCCGATGGAAACGATGGAACAAACAGGCCCTGCTGACGTTTTGGCTCTGCTAAGCCTTCCTCGGAGCTAAAGCATCTGCAGCATCTTCCTGTTCTAGACCCTTTATCTGTTGAAGTTAGCTGATACTGTACATGTCAAAGAAATGTTTGACTATTGCATTAACAAGCTGATGACAAGCAAGTTATTCCTGCAACTGAAATACTGCTGCTTTTAGTGGGCTGCCATCCTGACCTTCATCCTCTCCTACAGAAGAACCCTAACAGAGCGGAGCACTAGGGAGATACCAGTATTGTTGCCCGAGGCTGTACAGATAGACAAGGACCACCTGTTTGGAACTTAGGCACAGCGATATAGGGGACACACCAGGCAATTCCATTCGGGTTATGGATAGGATCTCCTGGTAAAACATAAACGTTGCCAACACATTGCACTGTCCCAAGGATTCTCGTGCTGGAATAAAGGGAGCTGCACAGAAATTCATTTTCTACTCTACCTCCTCCATTCCCCACACACGTGGGGGGGACCCATATATACTTTATAAAATGTTAATAGCTGGGAAAGTTAATGAAAAGTGTATACCAGCTTCAAACCTCGTTTTTGCCAGTTCTTGGAGTTCCTCCCATCAGTAGCTTCTCTCCTAGCCTCCTCCTCATTCAGGATAGCATCTGGAACTCTCTAGACCTAGTCGGAGCCATGCTCTTGTCCATGAAAAGTCAGGTGGGTCCATTAGCCTCCTCACAGAAACCTTCGACAGCCCTCTCTAAGACAGCACCACTTCATCTCCAACCTCAGCTGCCAGCAGGGAGTGCTCATACGCTGTGCAGCTTCCAATTCTTGCCTTGCTGTTTGAGTAGCCCTCCTCCCTAGGGGGAACCCACCCCTGGTGTTCCTTGAGTGTGCAGTGTGGTGGGTCCCAGGCTATCAGCATACGGAGCTGAGCTGGAGCCTGTAACAGGAGCCTGGCCTGTTATGCCAGAGTATTCTGTCTCCGCTGGTGCCTTGGGCGTATCAGCCCTGGGAACAATGGAGCCTTCACCCTCAGACTTTGGCCTTTTCATAAAGCTGAGCGTCTCTTACTCATCAAGGTGTCAGGTGCCCTGTATTTTTTTTAGACCCTCGGTTAAAGGTGCATTGATATTGTCTTGTCTGGTGTAAATATTGATGAGAAAAACTTGCATTCTCAGACTTATTTTCTGCTGTTGCCTCAGGTGCTTTCATTTTTAAAAGTCTTGTGTAAAAATGGTTATCATCGTTCAGCCATGAGACCCATATTTCTTGCCATAGTAGTGACTGGGCTTACCTTTCTTTTAGATTTGGTGAACTGACCACAGTACTGTCTCCCAGATGAAATGTTCTACTCCCATTCCAAATATCTCACACTGCAATCTATACCTCCGCTTTGTTACCTCAGAAGACAGGTGGGAAGGGTATGAGAGAGGGTCCTGTTTTTTCCACAGTTAAGGATACTACCTCTGGAAAAGGAGGTGAAGGTAGTTTGAGGTAGGGCACTTATATTTTCTGTAAAAGAACACATGTAAATGAACTATTGGAATTTTAAATGGAGTTCTAGTGACTTTTTCTTTTTAAAGTTCCTAATAGGATTTCTGTAATGATTTTGTGTTTTATTTTTTTAATAGAACTTAAATGGCAAAGAAATAATATGCTATTTTTGATTCAGGAAAAAAATAAAAGTCTTTTTTAATGGGAACTCTCTTTTTAAATACACGTTAGGGAATAGATAATGGCACCAACAATAAAAAATGTTCTCTCTTCCTAGTCTAAGGGATAGCTGATTAGTGTATGTGTACGTGTTTTTAATATGTGTTTACTTATTTGATTGTTTGTCTATTTATTTTAAGAAAGAAAAGAAGGAAGAGAGAAAAGAAAAATTCTTATGCTAGAGTAATCTCATTAGATTCATCGGGTTTTAGGGCTGGAAAGGAACTCAATGATAGTCTATGACTTTGTATCACACTCACGCTTGAGAGATGTGGATACTGAGACCCAAAGATGTTTAATAACGTGAACAAAGATACACAACAAGATTGTGGCAGAGCTAGGCCTAAAAATTTCTTTTAAACAAACAGTGTCATTTGAATAATTCACAATGATGGACTTAAGTATAACGGGGCATTTGTTTTTTGGAATAACTGGGTTTGTGCCCTGGCTAAGCCAATTTAGGGATATACACTTGAATAGTTTGGAGACATTTCTTCCTAAGCTGTAGTTTATCTGAGTCATGTAAGAAACCATTACAATTTCAATTAAATGTTTTCGCTTATAAGATTTCAAAGAAACACTTACCCCATTCCCATTTTAGCACCTGAAAACATGTATTTTTTAATGGATCTGTTCCTTTAATAAGTATTCGTTTAAGTAGGTCATATTCTAACATTCTTGAATATAAAAAATCTTTTATCAGATTAAAAGAAATCTGGTTTTTATTCCCACTTTTAGCCATGTTTGAGTTGGTCCTTGTTGTCAGTTTCAACAAAACACTGATTAAGTTAAAACATCAATGTTTTTGTTCATTTTGGTTCTTTTAGTTTAGCACAAGGGAAAAATAAAAAATGCATTTACCTTTTTGCAGCCATGACAATTACATACTCTATTTTTCATTTATGCAAAACTTTGTTTTTGAGGGTTTTCTTTTTGTTTCATTTCTCCGTTTTTGCATTTTCCAAACACTTGTACCATGGCTGGTGGCGAGAGCAGCAGTGGCTGACGCTTTTCCTCCACGCTTTGAGGGGAAGAGAATTGGCTGGAATAAAACCTTGCCTTCCACATGGTCGACTTGAAATACGGCATTGAAAAGGTATCGTCTCTTTTTTCTTTTCTGAAACCAGAGGTGAAACGCACGAGCCAATCGCAATGTTGATGCCAAACCACCTGTTGATTCATATCAGAAAAGTCCTTGGCAAGGCACCCCCCACTTCATCTTTTGAAACCCTGACTAGATGATTTCTGTGCATTGGTAGCATCATATCAACAATATATGCTGCTGGTCACTCACTTAAGAAAGCCAAGATTCTACACGTAGTCAAGAGATGAATTGAAAGTTTTGCTTTTGCTTTGACAATACAAACACTTTGTAAGTATGTTTGGCTGTGAAGTGTTTATTGATTCCTGGAGTATTGGGATCTATCGTTAGGGACAGTGAAAAGAAGGTGACGCTAGAGCTTCCTTTCACCTTGATTAATTCTAGTTAGGAAAAGCAGTAGTCTGTCTTATCAATTATTTTAAAGTAAAATATTTCAAGCACATAAAAATATAAAGAATAATGTGAACACAAAAGAATCCACACCCAAATTAAACAAATATTTGGCACACTTATTTCTAAACCTGTTTTTTTGTCTTTTATTATTCTAAGTTACATAAAATGATGTACACAAATTAAGTATATAGTTTGATGAGCTTTCACGTAAGTACATATCCATGTGACAACACCCAACCCAAGATACAAAACATTCACAATACCTTGGAAGAGTTCCTTGTGCCCTCTTGAGTGTGATATTCTCCAAACCTTTAACAAAAGGTTAAAAACAAGCAAAACTATTCTGACCTCTATCATTATGAATTAGTTTTACATAAGCCAATAGCCATAGTATGGCTTATATAAAATGTATTCTACTACAGATATCACTAAAATCTGTTTGTTGAGTCTCTCATTGTTAGACGTTATTTCTGGTATTTCCCAATCACAACCAATACTGCAGTTAACATTTTTATACATGTTTTTAAATGGAGGAGGAGTTGCTTAACTATAAGAAACATGCATTTTCAATTTCACTAGGAATGTAAAATTTCTCTCCAAAGTGGTAGTAGCAATTTATACTCTCATTAGCCATCTGTGAGAACTTCTCCACATACTTCATAACATTTGGGATGGCTAGACTTTTAAATTTTTTATCAATTTGATAGGTATTAAATAATATCTCATTTAAATTTTTTTTTTTTTTTTTTTTAATATCTCATTTAAATTTTTTTTTTTTTTTTTTTACTTATAAACCATTGGGATTTCCTTGTGCGTGTTGCCTGTTTGTATCTTTACCTATCATTCTGTTAGGTCATTTGTTTTGCTATTGTTACTTGGAACGGTTTTGGTTTTGGTTTTGGTTGTAGTATTCTGGATTCTCGTCCTTTGGGCAATAGAGATTACAAATATATTTTCTTAATCTGTGTCTGTAGTAGCTTATTTTGAAAAGTTTCTAATTTTAATGCAGTTAAGTTATTGATATTTTAACCTTTATAGTTTGTGCTGGGGCACCTGACTGGTTCAGTCAGTAGAGCATGCAACTCTTGATCTCGGGGTAGTGAGTTCAAGCCCCATGCTGTGTATGGAACCTACTTAAAAAAAAAAAAAAATATATATATATATATATATAGTGCTTTTATGTCATTTAAGAAATCCTTCCATATGACAACCTTCCTTTATTTTCTTCATTCCTTTATTTTCTTCTAACAGTTTAAAAGTTTGGCCTTGTACATTTAGATCTCTAAACTTCTTGGCATCTATTTTTGTATGTGATATCTTACATGTACCCTATTTTATTCTTTTTCCATGGATAATCCAATCATCCCAGCACCATTTAACAAGTTAGCCATCCTTACCCACTAATCTGTGATGCTATCTCTTGCCTACATTAAATGTTTTTTAGGATCTTTATTTCAACCAGTAAACTGTTTCTCTATTTTTGTGCTGACACCACAGTGCCTTAATTATCATAGCTTTATAATATTCTTGCTGTCTGATAAGGCAAATCTCTCTACACTGTTAACATTCTCTTGGCTCCCCTTGCCTTTTGCTATTCAGTATAAATTTAGGATTAGTTGGTCAAGTTTTACAAAAGCCTTGCTGAATTTTATTTGTAATTACATTAACTTTAGAGAATAATCTGGGGGAAAATTGACATTTATATAAAATTGTGTCTTTCTACCCATTAACAGACTATATTCCTCTACTAAATCAGATCTTCCTTCATGTTCTTTAATAATGTTTTATAAGTTTTACCACAAAGGTCTTGCTAGAAGCTATTTTGTTAGATTTCTTCTCGTATTACTTAGATTTTTGTTCTTTCATGTGTAGATTCTGTTTTCCTTTTCATTGTTTATTGGTCATTATTGGTATATATTTAGCAACTTTGCTGAACTCTCTTATTAGTTCTAATGACTAAACTGAAAATTCTCTTAGATTTTTTTACATAGGCATGTATATCATCTGTAAATAATGACAGCTTCTCTCTTAAATTCTAGTTCTTAAGTGTTCAATTTCTTTTTCCTGTCATATTGCATGACTAAGAACTTATATAGTATTGAATAAAAGCAATGATATTATGAATATCTGTTCTATTTCTTACTTTAATGGTAATTTGGCAAACGTGACTTTTGCTTAGCATTTTGATAAATCGAAATTATTGTGTTAAGAAAGTTTCCACCATCTATTTTTAGTGTGCAATGCATTTTTAATCAGGAATACCAGTCAAATTTTATCCAATGCATTTTCTGCATCAATAATATGATAAAATTACCCATTAATATGGTAATATTTTACATGATATTAATACATTTCCTGATATTAAACATTTCTTACATTCCAGGAAAAAAACTTTACTTGGTCCTGGTGTGTTTTTTTAATCCACTGTTGAGTTTAATTTGCTGATATTTTATGTAATATGTTTGTACAAGGAGATTAGTCTTTAATTTTCCTTTCTTAAACTGTTATTGTAGAGTTTTGGTGTCATGGTGATATTAGCCTCATAAAATAAGTTGAGCAACATTCATTTCTTTCTTTTTTTTTTTTCCTATTTCTGAAATAGTAGTCATATTAATAGGATTACCTATTCTGAAAATGTTGTTAAACTTGCCTGAAAAATCATCTGGACCTGGTATTTTCTGTCCATAGTGGGAAGGTAGAGTAGGGTAGACTTCTGAGTATCAGTTCAATTTCTTCCATGGTTACTGGTTTATTCAAATGTTCTATTTCATCTTAAGTCAATTTGAATACTTTTTTTAAAGAAAAATATACAATTAACAGTTAATCTACACTTTCAAACTTATTGCATAAAATTGTTCATAATGGTCTCATGACTTTTAATTTTATCTTTAATAGGCCCCCCTCTTATTCCTAATATTATTTATCTGAGCCTTTTTTCTTACTCATTGTTAGACATTTTTCTGTTTCATTTACTTTTTTTAAAAAACCTGTCTTTTGATTTTATTTATCTACTTTATTGTGTCTTTGTATTCTATATCATTACTTTGTGCTTTATCAACATTATTTTTTTCAGTCTACTTCTTATAGTTTAGAACATTTTTCTTTTTCTAGATTCCTGTGTTAAATTATTACTCATTTCATTTCGATGCTTTTTCTTATTTTCAAAGATGAATTTTACTCTCTTAAGTTTCCTTCCAAGTTTTTCATTAGCTGAATAGCTTGTTTTAGTTTGTAGTTTTGTTCAATTTTAAATGTTTTGTAATGTCTGCTTGATTTATTTTTAACCCTTGGGTTGCTCAAAAGTGTATGTTTTTACTTTCTAAACATAAATTTACTCTATTTTTATTACTGATCCAGAATTTAATTGCATTATAATGAGAGGATGTGTTTTATATGGGTTCAATTAAAATTTTTTTTTGTTTCTTTGTGACCTGGGACATGGATTTTACTGCTGACTTAAAATCTGTAGGTGGCTTATCTATTTCTCTAGTGCTCATATTAAAAATTTTATATGTATACCTAGCTATATATTTTTCTAATTAAAAAATAATCCACCTTTTAGTATTTCTGGCTTTCTCCTTAATGTAAAAAAGGTGCCTAGCATGTTTTATCTATTTACTAATTATCAATCTGTTATGATAATTGAATGGAGTTTTAGTTTTATCTGTTTGTTTTAAAACATATGCAAAAGTGGTTATCATTGATTTTAATAGTTAATGCCTAATTATATGTACTCGTATATTTAAGCTATTGCTGTGTCCACCATTATTCTTGGATGATATGGCTTCCTTTCTGGGTTCACTTTTCTTCGTGTTCAATTACATCTTTTAGTAATTCTTTGGTAGAGCCCTGGGAAGTATACTCTTTTTATATATCTAAAAATGTTTTTATTTTATCATTTATCTTAAACGGCAATTTATCTGGGTATTTTTGTTCAGCAGTTGAGGATATTACTCAATCTTACACAGTTGTTCTTTAACTTATCATTACTTAAGAGAAATCTGCTGTCAATCTAGTTTTCATCACTTTGTAGGTAGTCTGTCTTTTCCCTCTGGTGACTTTTAAAAGTTTTTCTGTATCCTTGATGTCTTATAGTTTCTCTCAAATGTGTCTAGATATGGATTTATTTTGAACTATCAGTCATGAACTCAGGGTTTACTTTCTAATCTCAGGTCTCTAATGCTAGAAAATTCTCAGTTATTATCTTTTCCTTTATTGTTTCTTTGTTATTACCTCCATTTTCTTCAGGGATTCTTATAAGATATATATTGCTGTTTCCTAGTCAATTTACATATCTCAATTACTCTTTCATTTTCTAAAAATATATTTTACTTTCTGTGATTTTTTTTCTGAGTGCATTCCTTAATATTACCTAACTCACTAATAATCTCCTTGAAATTGCCCAATTTTAAATTATCCTATTTCATTTTTAATGTCAATGAACATATTTTTAATTTTTAAGATTTCTGATTGGTTCTTTATTCACCTATTATCTTTTTGCTCTCTGTTGTTATTTAATAATTTCTTATTCTCTTATAAGTATGATTTTTTTTTAATCTCTGAGCATTACAAACATATTCATGTTGAGGTCATTGTCAGAC